GTTGGAAACGTTTCTCTCGGCTGGGCTCTAAAGTGACGATAATTTAGCCGAGCGGAAATTTGGACGCATTTTTTAAATTGAAGAAAAACGATACTTTCGAAATAAATTTTTTCACTTTTTCGAGTTAATATAGTATATTTACTTGCTAAGCTAGAACATACTTGAAGAAAATGTCCAAAATATCGAAATTCTCAAAAAAAGTCAAAATTATATACCCATTTGAACATGTGTAACTGGATGAAAGTACATTCATCATCATTGACAAATTGATAAAATTTTCTTAATAAACTTTTTTCTTTATAATTTTTTGGATGATTTAGACTGGTTTACATTGTAGAAACAATGATTGAATGAAATTCAGAAAAAAAGATGAATTTTGACGCATAAATTGACAAAATTGTTCAGTTATACGAACTTCAAAAATGGTCCTTTTTTGTATTATTTAGACTCATTTAAATATTTAAATATGATGTTTATGCCCAAAATCAATGAGTTATCAAGAAAATCAGCAAAAACAATTAAAAATTTGTAGCGGTGGAATTACCACGTTACCACGTGGTTAGGTTAGGTTAGTTGCCATAGCAACCTCCCCAACCCAGCCTAACAACTATGTACATACATACAGCATAACCCATTGTGGTTAGGCAAGCTTACCACACGGTTGTCATGGTTACTCTATAAACATGCAAGTTTATTTATTTTATATGCTTTATTGTTTTCGTGATTTTTTTATATTTATTATGATGAAAATTAAAATTTACAAAAAAAACAAAGTCTGCAAAACTCATTAGAATATGAAAATAAAGACTTCAAACTTGTTATAGGTTGACAATATTAATAATTTCAATAATTTACGGTGTGGACTTATTTTGTAAATTTGTGTCAAATGCATAAATTTTTTTAAACTGATTACGTTACAATGAAATTTAATCTATAATATCATGCGAAAATGGTGAAACGGAACGTGATGACGAAAGAATTTTATGGAGTTGTCAACGTTGTGTTCTAACTTGTATATCGTATTTCCTTATATATGGCCAAATGACGTAGTCGAGACGGCGCGATTATATGTAAATCTGCTGATGCTTCTCTCTCTCAAGTCGTAGGCCGCCTCTTGTTCACACTTGCTGAAGGACTCTCATTGCATATCGTCAGCACGCTTCACATGCATACATACATACATACATACATACACGGGTGGTGGTGTCGGTATTCGCTTTTGAGTTGTTCGGCTGACCAAATTTCCAAAATTCCACTAAAAATTACTTAATATTTTTTAATTTTTAAATAAAAAAAATTATGATAAAAATTACACTTGCTTGGATTTTGGTGATTCATGAGTATACGCTGTTTGCACGATGAGGCTGCGGGAGGTTAACTAACTCCGTGGTTGATGGGTTGGTTGCTATGGAACCAACCTAACCTAACCTAACCACCTGTTAACGTTGCTACTACCGCTGCTACAAATTTCTAACTAATTTTACTGTTTTGCTAGATAATACCTTGCTTTTGAGCATATATTTCATATTTAAATACGTAAATAGGTATAAAAAATATAAACATTAACCATTTTTATCGTTTTTACAACTAACATGTTTGTGTTGATGTTGTCAATTTTTGCGTCAAAAATCATCTTTTTTTCTGAATTTCATTCAATTATTGATTCTTCAATGCAAACTAGTCCAAATCATCCAAAAAATTATAAAGAAAAAAGTTTATTAAGAAAATTTTATCAATTTGTCAATGATGATGACTGTACTTTCATGCAGTTACACATGTTCAAATGGGTATATAATTTTGACTTTTTTTGAGAATTTCGATATTTTGGACATTTTCTTCAAGTATGCTCTAGCTTAGCAAGTAAATATACTATATTAACTCGAAAAAGTGAAAAAATTTATTTCGAAAGTATCGTTTTTCTTCAATTTAAAAAATGCGTCCAAATTTCCGCTCGGCTAAATTATCGTCACTTTCGAGCCGAGTCCGAGAGAAACGTCTCCAACTCTCACGCCGTGTGCACAAAGTTGCGGTGTCAACTCCGCTCGGCTGCAACTCCGGGATAGGAAATGGGCTTGTACGCTCATGCTTAATAATAGACAAGTAGTAGTCGCGGTATCAACTTCGCTCGGCTGCAATTCCGGGGGAAGTGTGGTTGTAGAGCTCGAGTTAATAGGTACATATGCGTACAATATATTGCTTACCCATGGTGGTTCAGCGAGAGAACTGTGTTGTCATGGTAACTCTATAAATTTTATATGCTTCATTGTATTCATGATTTTTTGATATTTATTATGATGGAACCGAAGTTTGCAAAAACAAAAACATTAGAATATGAAAATAAAGACTTAAAACTTATTATAGTTTGCCAATATTTATCATTTTAAAAATTTAAGATGTGCACTTATTTTGCCAATTTGTGTCAAAATGCATCAATTTTTTAAATTTAATTCGTCTACAATATAAATAGTCTGCAATATCGTGATAAAAACTTGAAACATGA